GCGTAGCCCACTCCAACCCCTGGAGCGTGAGGTTCCCCCTCCTGCGAATTCGCGTCAAGGCAAAGAAATTGGGTTCCGGAGAGGGCGAATTCATAATTGACACAGGAGCCGTTCTAAACATATTAGCGTTAAATGCTATCCACCCTGATGCACCCGTCATTAGCCGCGAACGAACCGAAATTGAGGGCTTAAAGGGGAAAATTTTTTCTGAAAGTGTCACCTGCGTCAAAATTAACGGAAGTTGAGCCTTATTTTATGTTATTAAGAATCCAAATTTGCCTCCTGGAATATCTGGTTTGATAGGTAGCTCATACTTCTTACAAGAACAAGCCTCCGTTTCTTATTTTCATCGTTCACTAGTGACGACCACTCGCCCGATCCATTCGATACATTTTTCTAATTCAGCCGAAATAAACAACGCTTTACAATTGTGCGAAGAGGGACGAAAAACCCTTCGAGCATATCTCGCAGAACATCGAGAATTGAAACAGGAAACCGACGAAAATTTTGAACAAGATCCTCCATCACGTCCTCTTACACCACTTTCTGAAGAACAGCTCGCTGAAGACGAAGCATATGATTTAGAAGAATATAAAATTAGCTACCCTTCCCCTGACGAACGATTGGATAATATCATGGACAAACTGAAAATAGATCATTTAGACAACACGGCACGCAACCTGGTAATAAAGACAGTAGAAGAATATTCGGACAGATTTTTCGTTCCTGGTGATTCGAAAAAACCGAGATAGCAACGCATTCCTAGAATCCGGCAATGCTCTTTCACACGAAACCAGCGCCGAATCATCCATTCTAAGTAACTGTTCTTCAACTCCGGCAAGTCCTTCTCTCTCAAAGGAACAAGTTACCATCTTAAGAAGTCTCGATGAAACAATGGAATTCCCGGAACCAGAAAATTTGGATGAAGGATTAACATCGAATAGGGATGCTGAGCAGAGACCGGCTGCAACGATGAAACGTGTATCTTGGTCGCTGCCTCCGATTGACGAAGCTTTAAATTTCCCCAATTCAACGATGATACATCCTACCTCCACTGCCCATAAAGGAGATTCCATATCTTACACAGAAGAGACAACCCAGCACACTCCCTCGTTAAAACGATCAACGGAATTCGACACATTTATAGATAATATGAAAACCTTAGCTCCATCGGCAAATTTGGAAAACCTACATCGTTCCCAATCTCGGTTTCGCGAACCAGCAATTCAAGCACAGAAAAGTACCACTCCAGAATGCGATGTAACCATCTCGGAAACAACACTAACAGCCGCTTCGGATAACTACGTTCATTTTATACCAGCCGATCGAGTTCTTACCAGCCCGATAAGCAAAACTCTAAAAGCACTTAGCTTACTTCAAGAAACAGATTTACTAACGAAGGATTTAGAAGAAGGACGAACAATAGTTACACGTTCCGAAAGAGGGAAAATTTTTAACATTGTTGCAACCAGGAATTTCTTCCACGAAGTAAATGAACGAAAATTGGAACAATTATTAGTCGATCTTCGAACCATGGTAGAAAAAGAGCGCATCAGCTCGTTTCGAATAGCAGCGTATGGCGAAACTCTACACCATTTCAGTGCCAATACCCTTAAATCTTATTTAGAAGAAATATTTCGGAAAATACTAATATGAATCAAAATTTGCACAGGGAAAATTCAAACACCTGAACAGGATCAGCGCGAGGACATTATTCGGTACTATCATGAAAGTTTAATAGGAGGACATAAGGGAGTAACGAAGACCTACCAACGGATACGGAACCACTTCGATTGGCCGCGGATGCGACGTGATATTGAAGATTTTATAAGAAACTGTCGCAGTTGTTATGAACAGAAACTCGTCCGCATAAAAACTCGTGAACCAATGCTTATAATGGATACACTAGCCAAACCGTTCGACGAAGTGGCTCTCGACACCGTAGGTCCCCTTCCTATGACCCCTAGTGGAAATCGACATATTTTAACTATTTAATATCAACTATCAAAATTCTGTGTGACAATTCCATTATTCCATATTCGTGCGCTTACCGTCGCCGACGCTTTGTCGCGCTATTTCATCGCAGTTTTCGGAGCACCGCGCGCTATTCTGACCGACCGCGGAAAAAGTTTCATCAATAATCTACTGCAGGGCATAGCTCGCGTATTTAGAGTAGATCACGTTACAATATTTGGTCACTGCCCCCAGACAAATGGCTCACTAGAAAGGAGCCACATCGTTCTCACCGAATATTTAAAACACTATTTGGAAAGATACGAAGAGTGGGACTTGCTGTTGCCCTTTGCGACCTACTCGTACAACACTTCGGTACACGAAGCGACGAACTTTACCTCGTACGAAGTAGTATTCGGTTAGTTAGCCAGGAATCCATTCACGCCGCTGTTTCAGGACGAAATTGCAACATATCCTTCATACGTACAAAATTTGGTTCAACGCCTAGATGAAATTCGGTCAATGACACAGAAAAATATAGATGAAAAGAAATTACGTTCAAAATTATATTACGATCGCAAAAGTAACGAAGTTAATTTCAAGCCAAATGATCTCGTCTATGTATTAAAAGAACCGCGAATAGGAAAATTCGATTCACACTACGAAGGACCCTTCAAAATTTGCGATACCACCGAACAGAATAATGCTATTTTAATAAAGGGAAACAGGCAGAAATTCATGAAACACTTCGACAAATTAAAGCATGCTCACTCCAATGAAAAACCGCCTTGAGGATAACTAACTACTTCGAACGAAATCAACACGAATAATTTAAATAATTATTAGTAAAAGTTTAGTTAAAGTTAAATCGCATTAATCTCATCTCGTAACGCAACATTCAAATTCCCCGTACTTCGAACGGCAAGCGTTTGGAACACACGCACCGTCGGCAAATTCGTACGATGCCGACGTTGTGGCAATATTTCGACAACCAAATATTACAAGCCTAGCAAAGGTTAGGGAAGCTACTTAAATTCTTTTCTCTCGACAGAAAATGTCGAATAAGCAAGTTTTAATAATGTTTGGTATACCCTGTGGACGTTTAGTACGGCTATCGAAATTGAAGAAAACTACGAGATTTTACCAATAAAAAACTATCCAGGCCTATATTATGAGGAGCTACGGCCACTCCGAATCTTTCATGCCAAAAGGAAAATAGTAACTGCTTTAGGCGTACAAGACATCCTCGACGCAAAACCACACATCCAACCGCAAATAGAAAAAATCTTAATGATCTGTAGAACCCATAACTGGGGGAATTGCCCAATGAATGCTCTTAAGATACAGCTGGGAAAAAAGTTAATAGACGCAAATCGATATGAGCAACTTTTACGTTATAGTCTAACGAAACCCATAAGTGCAAGGACACAAAGATCGGCACCACTAGGATTTATCGGGACAATTAGCAACGCTCTTTTTGGAACACTTACGGAAGACGACGCAAAATATTACAATCAGGAAATAGATAAAATTTATAAGGATCAAATGCATTTATCACAATTATTGGGTAATCCGACACACATAATTAGATCAGAATTTCAAGACATTCATCAAGATTTACTAACTCTCAGGAATTCATCCCTGAGAATGAGCAATAGAATAAAAGAAATAGCCACAGGATTACAGAAACTCAACGAAGTCGAGGCAGAAATGGGAATAGAGAGTCGCAACATTTTGGACAAATCAAGACACGTAGATGAATATCTTCACGCTTTACAAATACTGACAGACGCAATAATGTTTGCTAAATTAGCAATATTGCACCCCGCAATACTATCACCCAACTAACTCGCAACTACGTGCACCCAGATAAATCAGTCAACACCATACGAATTCCCTCTATCCTTAACGGAACTACATTCAGAGGAATTTTATAAAATAATTACAACCAACACCGCCTATTCGAATGGAAGAATAGTAATATCAGTAGAAATTCCTCTGCTGGACAAAACACCTTTTAACCTTTATCATTTACACCCATGTCCTTCCTTTCTACCTATATCCCACAATATCTCTACTGCCATGGTCGTAGTCCCACAAACATCATTCCTGGCAATTAATAGGATCCACCGGAAATACTTCCTGCCCACGGAAAATTTTGTCTAAGGATGCAAGTCTCATCCCGATAAATATGTTTGCCAACTCACATTACCATTATACAATCTAGAAGAAGCACCGATTTGTGAAACCAATATCTTAACACAAACACAAACCATAGAATGGAAAAAATGTAACGTCAGATCCTTAAAATCAACTCATACGGTCACTAACCACCTTTCAATTCCAAACACGTGGTTGTATTCTGTCAGGGAGAAAACGCCATAGAAAATCAAATGCAATCATCGCGCAGCAGGGTATGAACTAATACACGGCTCCGGAATTTTGAAGCAGAAAAAGAACTGCCAGGCACAAGTCGACAACTGAAGACTTATCATATCAGAAACAACAACACTTCGAATGAATTCAACGTTTAAGTCACTTTTAACATTAAACATAACAGAATTGATACCACAAATATCACCCCATCACGTAAAAATAATATCCGACTACCAACTACACAACATACCAATAGGAATGTTACATGACAAAGCAAACGAAAAATCTATAGCGCTAACAGAAATAGAACGCCAGGCCCAAGATCTGGCAACGCACCACCGTACTCAACGGTTAACAACACATATGATTTACGGGGGTGCTACAGTAGGGGTGTTGATCATTTTAATTGGAATATTATGGATTACTAAAAGAAATTGCAAATACATTTGCGAAAGAAAATAAAAACTAGAAATGACAATAAGAGAACGAACAGGAACAAGAACCATCGGAACACCGGGTATAAGGCCAACGATCTCACCTCCACTATGCATTACCGAAATCCCGAGTACACGTCCCGCAATCGCAGCATTGACATCGGGAAAGACAACGCAAGTACATTTTTTCTAAAGGCAACAGGTAAAGCAAATCCAATCAGAACTCACCGTTACCACCTCCATTCATACCTAATACGTCCTATATAAACCATCGCACAATTACCCCATCCCATCATCAAAGTTTTTTTTTGCGTGAACAACAAGTACCAAACGACAAATACCGATCAACAAAAATGGGTTACTACAGGAGACCGATAAGTGGTATGTTTCTTAACAAAACTACATAATTAAAGAACAACGCTACCCTAGTATTAACCCACAATTAACTAAGTTTCTTTTCCTTCCGTTAACCCTAGCAACCCTCCCTATATTCGACGACACGATGTTACCACGGTTGATCACCCCCGCTGAGAGGGTCCTGCTGGGGCCCTATTTAGACCACCTCCGGCGGAGGTAGTGCGTGGAGGGGCACTCCTGGGTGGCCCAGAACGGAACAATCAAATGCGACGGATGCCACTGGATGCTCCAGGAGGCAGAGGCGCGGGGATACCAACCGGCCTCAGTGCACCGCCTACTCCAGGAGATTTGCAGGGCGCATGCAGCAGCCCAATGCTCGTTTTGCAGGCGAAGGGCTCTCAATAGGGGAAACCCGAAGGAGTACCCGCAGTGCATAAGGGCCATCGCCGCAACCCCTTGGGTCGAGCTGGCGGTGCGACCAACCATCGTAGTGCCACCCCTCCCCCCGGCACCGAATAATTATGTCAAAATTGTATATTATTTTATATTAAGAATTTATATTATATTATATTATTTTTAATTTTATGACAGTTTTATATAGAATAATTTATAATATATAGTATATAATGTATAGTACAGTTTATAATAGTATATGGAATAGTTTTATGTTTCTCTTCTCTTTTCTTTCTTCTTTTTTCTTTAACTCATGTACGAATTTTTTTATATATATATAATGTTATTGGAGTTTAACTTAATAAGAAGGGGATAAATAAACGAGGAAGGTTTCTCTGAAAATAAACAAAGTTTTTGTCATGTATTTACATTCACTTAACCTAATAAATTTTATTACAATTATTTACATACCTGAAAATAAACAAAGAAACTACATTCAATGTTTATTCTTTATCCTATTCTAAATCTAACAATCTTTTTTTATACCGTTTAATTATCTTTCTAGTTTTAACTAGCCTCTCGCATTACGCAGTCTCTCTTCTCTCTTCCCTTCTCTCTTCTCTTCTCTCTTCTCCTCGCCGACTCGCGTGTGAGCGCAGGAGCGATCAAAAGTTAATTTTGAGGAATTGGGCTTTCTTACATATATATATGCAAAATATATACTACTTTATATTATTGAAAAAAAAAAAAAAATAAAATAAACTATCAGCTAGTTGTAGTATGGGCCTTCGATGAAAAGGTACACCCTTGCTATACAAAACAGCCTCTCGAGACTTGTTGTGTCTGGCGTTGGGGGTGTTACAGCCGGCCCTGCCGGTGTCCCTTTTTATCGACCTCGCATTGCGAATAGTTAAGATCAATAGACTTTTAGGAATGCGCACGAACCACAATTCAAATCGTGTTATTCAACCGAGTCGAGTGAACCGCAAGTCAGCAAACAAGCGTCAGCAATATTAGGCTCTTGGGCACGAATCACCTATTGAATTTGGGACTTGCTCCAATTTCGGGAAATGTGGCAATTAAGATTCCGAAATTACGAATTACGCCAGGCAAGGATCTGGGGCTATATAAGCCCGTGGTCACGACCATGGACGGCTCTTTGTGTATTATTATTTTGGCAGTTATTATTCTGTAGTCGCGGACGGGTTAATCTCTCGCGTTAGTCTTATTCAGGTATCGTGTATCGTATCTTCGGCTGAGTAAAGAGTTCGCGTAAGTGAGAACATATGCACTAAAGATAGAGTCACCGCGGAGTTACCTACGAAAATCCGACGTTTAGTATTCGCCAATCATTAGAGTCCCGTGTCGCGAGTGTACAACCAGACCAGATCCTCGCCACAGTCGAGCCCAGAACAATCTGACGACAGCGTTAATAGCATAAGATCAACGATTGGTATTGTTAAAACCATCTGCAATTGTATAATTTATATTCCTGTTTGTACATAATCCCAAACTCAGTTTTGTTTCATAATTATATTTGTTAATACTTAAACTTAGTGACAATCATTATAGAATCCCAGAATTCCTTCTTTACCAATTAAATACAGATAAGGTGAGCTTTAGCTCTTTAACCGAAGCCAAGAATCCCTAAAGAAAGTCCTAAACTAGTTGGGACGTAACAGGCTGGACCGCCGGCACGGGCGGCTCACGTATAGGCACACCGAAACAACCATGACCGGTGAGCACCTGCATAAGGTGGAGGCCGAGGAGTCGCCCGCGTGCCATCAATGTGGCGCGGAGGTTGACTCCGCACAGCACATGCTGGAGGAGTGTCCGGCCTTTTGGAGAGAGAGGCGAGCGCTCCGTCTAGCGGTGGGAGGGGAACTCTCCTGGCCGGCTGCGACCGGTGTGGCGGCGCGACCCTGCACACATAGGCGGTAAGCTCAACCTTTGAGCTCGTTAGCTACCAGCAGGGTCGCCGGACATGGGGAGGTTCGTCACCTGACGCCCCCCCCCCCCCCCCCCCCATTTCTAGGAACATGCCCAGCGCTGGCGCCGCCGAGGACCGTTTGTCCCCTGCCGGCATTCTTCCCTGTGAGGGGGTGGGGGGGCAGAATACGTCCACAGTAATCCCTAATTGTCGTCAGAGGC